AGGTTAAATGAGGTCATGAAGGTACGGCCCTGATCCATAAATCCTGATGTCCTTAGGCGAGGAGGACACAGCTGCTGCCCTGTCCTCAGGCCCCTCTCTGGATCAGGATTCTCCAGGGGGGGTCAGGAACAATGGGACGTGTGAGAGCAGATTTATTAGCGGGATCGTGTCGCAGGATCACAGGGGTTGGCAGGTCCCGCCACAGGCTAACCTCAAGCAGGAGATCTGGAGAGCTTGTCCAAGTCCGGAATCCTCAGAATCGGGGAAGCCGGCAGTGTAGGCTCTAGCTCAAGGGCAGGGGCACAAGAACACCTGCGGTGCTGCTGGTATTTGGAGTCCAAACAGTGATGTCCAGTGGAGTTCCAGTGTTCAGAGGCAGGCAGAGTGGAGACATGGGGTGGCCGGGAGGGTGGTGTTTACTTCTACCCAAGAGGACCGCATGGCGCTTGAGGAGTTCTCCGCTCCCCAGCCCCCTGACTCCCGCACCAGCTTGTCTCTGCAGCCACCCTCAGACTACACGCTCCTGTGTGTCCTTCAGTTTGCCATCTAGGGCAAAGTCTGCCCGGCATAGTCATGAGTACGCTCCTTCTGGAACACTGTTTCTTTATGGGCACAGGATGTCTTGCTGGAACAGTTGCCCCTCTGGCTGACGGGCTAGAGCCAGCACTAGTTAGTTTCAATACTGCTATCTAAGTAACCCTCAGAAGACCTCCAACTTTATCATAGTAATCTAGCTTCCTTAAAAAAAAAGAGATTTATTTATTTACTATTGAAAGAGATTTATAGAGAAAAGGAGAGACAAAGATCTTCCATCTGCTGACTCAATCCCCAAGAGGCTGCAACAGCTGGAGCTGAGCCTATCTACAGCCACAAACCAGGAGTTTCTTCAGGTCTCCCGAGTGGATGGGGTACAGGGTCCCAAGGCTTTGGGCCATCCCCCACTGTTTCCTCCCAGGCCACAAGTAGGGAGCTGCATGGGAAGTGGAACTGCTGGGATTAGAACCGGTACCCATACGAGATCCTGATCAGTGCAAAGTGAAGATCTTTAGCCACTAGTCTACTGCGCCAGTAGTAGCTCCTAGACTATTGCTCCATGCCAAAAGACGCACCAGTGGCAAGACTTCTGACCGACAGTCACTCTGATTAATACCAAGAGGGACCATAGAAGAACAAAAACAGGGCAGCTCCACCTTTCTGACAATGATGATGCTCTCCTTTCAGAACAATCCACAAACATCCCTCCTTGTTAAAGTATCCCTGCCCCTCTTTCCTGGCGCTTTGTATCACTGATTTTTTGATACCCAAAAGGTTCACAAGTTGAAATGTGTAGCCAGTATTTAAACATAGTGAGTTAAACTGTTGCCTTTGATGCCTGTTTCCCCGCACTGAGTCCTGGATGCTCCACTTCCAATCCAGCTCCCTGCCAATTCACCTGGGAAGGCAGTGGCACTTAGCTCAAGTGCTTGGGCCCTTGCACCTCCCAAGAGAGAACCAGATGGAGTCACAGCCTCCTGCTATAAAGCCAGGCCTAGGCTTCTCTGTGGGTGGCCATTTGCGGAGTGACCCAGTGGATGGAAGATCCCTTTCCCTCCTCTCTCCCTGTCACTCTGCCGCTCAAATAAATAAGCATTTATTCAAACACAACCTCTACTTCTTTGCTCTTGGACCACGGAGCAAAGCTTGTGCTACTGATGCTCAGCTTTGCTTTTGCTGCTGGTTTCTCAACACTGAACAGAAAAGGAACCTCACTCTGTATCTCTTCCACAGGAGAGCTAGTCACCTTGGCACCAAAAAATGAGGCATCGGACACCTACAATGACACTCAGACAAAAAACAAAAAACAAAAAGCTAGGAGAAGACATAGCAAGAAAGCAGCTCTCTACAAGGAAGGAACTTTTCCAGAAACTAGCCCTTGGACTCCCAGCCTCCAGAGCTATAACGACATTCCTGTTGTTTAATCCCTTCTGGGTGATAGCCTGCTCTGGCCTCCTGAGCAGAGCAACACAGTGAGGGCGGGCTGTGTGGTGCTGAATGTAGTTTATGCTCTGCTCTAGCCAGTTATTAAGTCATGAACTTGGATATGCTCGTTCACTTCTTCCACCTAGTTAGGGAGGACAAAAAGGAGTGCAGCCATGTGCATGTATATAGAACTGCATAGATGTATGTAGCCATTCCGCAGTATGCATATGGGATAGAAACTTCCAGTCCATCCTATTTACAAGCAACCTAGGAAATACTCCTGTACGGTTGAGATGACTTTTAATATCTCATCCCAATAGTTACTGCATTGCTTTTAAAAAATGCAAATACAAACTCTCGACATGTTCAATATAGATTCGGTCTACACATATTTTTAATTGGGCCTGGCACAGTAGCCTAGTAGCTAAAATCTTCATCTTGCATGACCCACGTTTGTATCCTGGCTGCTCCACTTGCCATCTAGCTCCCTGCCTGTGGCTTGGAAAAGCAATGGAGAACGGCCCATGGCTTTGGGTTCCTGCACCTGTGTGGGAGCCCCAGAGGAAACTCCTGGCTCCTGGCTTCAGATCGGCACAGCTCCGGCTGTTGCAGCCACTTAGGGAGTGAACCAGTGGATGGATGATCTTCTCTGTCTCTCCTTCTCTCTGTAAATCTGACGTTTTAACAAAATTAAGTAAGTATCTAAAAGAAGAAAAACAAATCGAACCTGTAAATCAAATACATTTTTATATTTATTTATATTTGTTAGACAGCTGAACTGATCTGAAGTGACTAGTTCCAGTTCATGATAATGAGTACAAATGAGTGTATCAAGGTCATGTCCAAAATATTGGAAAAGGGTGTGAGTCCCCCATGCACTCTCTTCCCCCAAAGACAACAATGGAAGCCTGCTTGTTCTCAAGCCACGAGATGTTGGCATCTGAATTTACTGTAGAGGCTGGGGAAACGCATTTGGCACAGGGGTTATGATGCTGCCTCAAGGGCCGGGCATGATGGTTCAATTGGCTAGTCCTTCCCCCTTCGAGTGCCAGGATCCCATATGGGCTCTGGTTCATGTCTCAGATTCTTCACTTTCCATCCAGCTCTCTGCTTGTGCCCTGGAAAAGCAGGTCCCTGTACCTGCAAGGGAGACTTAGAAGAAGCTCCTGGCCCCTAGTTTTGGAACCACTTAACTCGGGCTATTGCGTTGAACTAGCAGATGGAAAATCTTTTTCTCCTTCTCCCCAAAAACGATGTCACAGAAACACACATAACAGAATTCACCAAATACCGGAACACCTCATGGTTCAGCTCAGTCAACACATTAAGCACCACAGGGTTTGGTTTTTAGGGAAACCCAAACCAAAACACCAAGCACAGGTCAGGTTGGAGAACAAATCTCCATCTGTAATTTGTGGAAATCGCAGAAGAATATTTTATGCAAACTACTCACCTTGGAAACATACATTTCCTTCTCTGACTTGTCCACAGTCCCTATTGAGGAACCCTAGTCCTGGGAAATAACAGATGCGGCGTGGCAGCCCGTGACTGTAGACAGAACAGTGCTCCTGGGTAGAACAAGAAGCTGTACTATGCGCACATGTGGAAGGTTCAGCAGCCCCATACCGGGATCCTGGGATGTGTTTTTGTCTCTCTGGCCCAGGCACTTGGTTCCACCAACAGTGGCTGATCCTGCCCACCCCTGCTATTCCTGTTGTCTGTGTGCCACAAAGGGTGTCACTGTCCCGGGTGCTGACTAAATGTGTTGTCGCTGTCCGTGGTGCTAACCTTCTCTTTCACTTCTCATGAAGCTACAGATTGGAGGATTTTGAAGCACAGTAAGATCAAGGTGAAATTTTGTTTCCTTCCGATACCTGTGAATAGAACTTGGGGTCCTGGGCTGTGTAACAGCATTCACACTGAAGAATGAACACTAGCACAGTTGGTGGAGCCCAGTACAGCCAAAGGTGCAGCCTGCAGGGGTACTAACCACAGCCAGGGAGCAGTTAACGCTGTCCATACCTGGCTTGACCTGTCCTGCCTCTGATCTCCCATAGCTAGCATATCATCAAGTCCTGTGAGTTCCAGCTTCTGTGTCCCTTGAGTCAGCTACTCCTCTCATCTCAACCATATCAAGCCCAGGATGGAACAACCATCTCCACCCTCATTCTCATCACTGCCATTTCTTGCACAGGCCATTTCTTTAAGATTAAAAAAAAAAGATTCTATAATTAGGTCAAAATAGAGGGGCCTCGAGTAGGTGACTGACCAGAAGATCTGTTCCGATTTGCATGGCAATTTGCACTCCAAACTTGTCTATGAGCCAGCACCACTGTTAAATGGCACAATCTCTTAACACACCCCCAACGAGTGTGTTTGTATGTAAACTATCTCTCAATTAAAAAAAAAAAAGGTTGAGCAAAACACAGGTACAGTAATAAAAATAATGAAAGCTTCTAGGGCGCTTATCACGTAAATGGGGCTAGGATGCGGGTACCCGCAGGCCTTCGGAATACACCTGTTGAGGAGGTCTCCAGCCGCGGAAGGAGGAACAGACTCAGAGCCAGCTGGCCCACATTCGCTCCAGATGGTCCAAGATACTCGGAAAAGCTTTCTGAAACTACACATCCATCGAGCTGGCACGGCCCAGACTGAACCCACGCTCAGTCTCCAGCTCCTGCCGCTGATATGCCGGGATCCCCGAGAAGGCGGAAGATGGGGGAGAAGGGACCGGACTCCACAGGTGCAGGCTGCGTCTGCGCGCAGGCTGAGAAGGGGGGCTTCCGGGGCTGCAGGGTCGCCCAGGCGGGTGTGATGCAATCACGCCAGTCTCTGCGTCCAAGGGCGGCTGCAGGGACACGGGGACTGCGGTAGAGCTTGTGCGGCCCGCCGCCCACTCCGCCCCCGCCGCCAACCGCTGCCACCAGCCTTCCTCTCGCGTTAAGACGACCACCGAAGCCAGGGGAGACCTCCTGACAGCCTCTCTGAGCTATTGGTAGCCCCCCCCCCCGCCCCAACCACCTGTGCGCCCAAGGCGCGCGATGAAGTCGGCAGCGAGCTCGCGCGGGGGTGGCCGCGGAGGCTGGAGCGGAGGCTGGGGCGCAGGGCGCGGCGGCGGGAGCAAGGGCGGCGGCGGGAGCAAGGGCGGTGGCGGCGGTGGAGGCGGCGGAGGCGGAGGTGGCAGCAGCGGCTCCGGGGGCAAGGGAGGCTTCGGCACGCGAACACGCGGCTTTGGCGGCGGCGGAGGCCGGGGCCGGGGCCGCGGTGGCGGCGACTGCAGGGACCGCAGTGGCGGTGGCGGTGGCGGAGGCGGCGGCGGGCAGCGTCGCACTGTGGCCAAGAACAAGAACCGCCGCAAGAAGGGCGCACACACCGTGTCGGTGGAGCCGCATCGGCACGAGGGCGTGTTCATCTACCGCGGGGCGGAGGACGCGCTGGTCACGCTCAACATGGTGCCCGGGCTCTCGGTGTACGGAGAGAGGCGCGTCACGGTGACCGAGGGCGGCGTGAAGCAGGAGTACCGCACCTGGAATCCCTTCCGCTCCAAGCTGGCCGCCGCCATCCTGGGCGGCGTGGATCAGATCCACATCAAGCCCAAGTCCAAAGTGCTGTACCTGGGCGCCGCCTCGGGCACCACGGTGTCCCATGTCTCTGATATCATCGGCCCGGACGGCCTGGTCTACGCCGTCGAGTTTTCCCACCGCGCCGGCCGCGATCTTGTCAACGTGGCCAAGAAGCGCACCAACATCATCCCGGTCCTCGAGGACGCCAGGCACCCGCTCAAGTACCGCATGCTCATCGGGATGGTGGACGTGATCTTCGCCGACGTGGCGCAGCCAGACCAGTCGCGCATCGTGGCCCTCAACGCGCACACCTTCCTGCGCAACGGGGGCCACTTCCTCATTTCCATCAAGGCCAACTGCATCGACTCCACCGCGTCCGCCGAGGCTGTGTTCGCATCGGAGGTGAGAAAGTTGCAGCAGGAGAACCTGAAGCCGCAAGAACAGCTGACATTGGAGCCCTACGAGCGGGATCACGCGGTGGTCATCGGGGTCTACCGGCCCCTTCCCAAGAGCAGCAGCAAGTAGTATCCGCAGCAGTGCTTGCCGGCTGCCATCGCCCCCCAGGGCTGTGGCTCTTCAGCTTTCTGCTGTGTATGTGTCTCCGTTGTGTGTCTTGTTTTGTTGTTGTTTTCTATTAAACGGCATCAACAAACCGTGCCCAGGTGTATCAGTGAGGCCTGGCCGCATGTGGCTGCAGTGATGAGCAGCCTGAAAGAGGGGAGCCCACACAGGGCTTTGCCAGTCCTGCCCTCTGGACTCTGCCGGGCCCGTCCTCACAACTTCCTCCCGGGTAACAGGGCCAGGAAGGAGCTTTTACAGTTCCCCTTAGAGCTCACGAAGGGGGCTCTGTCAACACTGGCTGGGAGGAATAGGCTCACAGAGACTAACCGAAGCCAGGCTTTACCACAGCACAGCCCCTTGGCACTGACTCATGCGCCAACACAGCTGGCCCCCTGCCATGTCTCCATCTCCTGTGAAGCAGCACGGTTTCTGCAGGTACACCAAGTGCCCCAGTGTACACCACTGTTTCCTTGGCACCTGAGGGTTTCGCCTTCTCCCCCGACTTTCCCCACACATGACACACAGCGGGAGTGTTCCGACTCCCCACCTCACTGGCCTGCCCCTTTCTCTGGCTTCACACTAGCGAAATAGGGTGAGGAGGTGGAGGTGGTCCGGCTCACTGGGCCTCGTGCAGGGCCTAACATACCCGCAGTGGCGTTGCCATGTGTCTGCATATGCTAGGAAAAAGGCTTCCCAGAAGGTGTCTGCTTCTGGAAGGCATTTCCCGCAGAGCTTCAAAGCTGACTCAGCGCCTTAGGCTCCAGCTCTTGAACCCGGCCCAAAGACAGCGGCAGAGTGGGAACCTCTTCAGTGCCAAGAATGTTCCAAAGCCTCACAGACCTCCTAAAGCAGATCTTTGAAAAGCTTTTCATTTAACCGAATAATCCATAATGCCACATGCCAAGATTACTGACAGTTTAGTGCTGGGATGAAGACCCACTCACTCACCATTTGGGAGATGGGTTTGCCTTCCTAAAAATATGTGCTTTGCCCACGATCCCGGTTAGTTTGCTTTTTTGGGGGTGTGTTTCATGGTCGCCGGGTGCTGGCATATCAGACTTGTGAACGGGCTGCTATCCCTCATGCAAACTCATCCCCCGTATGATTCAGGGAGGGCTACATGGCCCATATTTCGGCAAGACGGACACAGAAAGAAGAGAATGCTTGTGTTACATCTGTAAACACTCAAACTAGGCATTTTAAAAAAGATTCATTCTTAATTTTTATTGCAAAGTCAGATACACAGAGAGGAGGACAGACAGAGAGGAAGATCTTCCGTCTGATGATTCACTCCCCAAGTGGCTGCAACAGCTGGAGCTGTGCCGATCTGAAGCCGGGAACCAGGAACCTCTTCCAGGTCTCCCACACAGGTACAAAGTCCCAAGGCTTTGGGCCATCTTCGGTTCCTTCTCCAGGCCACAAGAAGGGAGTTAGATGGGAAGTGGAGCCACCAGGATTAGAACTGGCAATCATATGGGATCCTGCACGTGCAAGGCAAGGACTTGAGCTGCTAGGCTACTGTGCTGGGCCCACTAAGCATTTTTACGAGATTTTCTTAACCAAACATTTCCCTTCCCTTTAAGAAGCTTTTTTTAACAAACCACTTCAAGATTACTAATTTGAGAGACAACATTCACTGGTTCACTCCCCAAATGGCCAGGACTCAGCCAAGAAACCCAATGACTTTTCCATCGCCACGCCTCCCAACAGGTGCACCCAGGCACTGACTGGGGTGTGGGATGAGGGCATCTTCATCCCAGGTCACCTGTCCATACTCAACGGACACTACCCCATCCCCATCCAATCCACTATGGAAATCATCATGGGAGCCTGGCACAGCAAGGGTCATCATTCCCATGTAACTCCAGTCCAGAGCGGGCAGTGTGACTTCAGATCTTCTTTTAAGATTTATTTTTATGGGAAAGGCAGATATACAGAGCGGAGAAGAGACAGAGAGGAAGATCTCCGTCCAATGATTCACTCCCCAAGTGGTCGCAATGGCCCACGGTGCTGTGCCGATCTGAAGCCGGGAGTCTGGAGCTTTTCCATGTCTCCCAAGTGCGTGCAGGGTGCCAAGGCTTTGGGCCGTCCTCAACTGCTTTCCCAGGCCACAAGCAGGGAGCTGGATGGGAAGTGGGGCCGCTGGAATTAGAACTGGTGCCCATATGGGATCCTAGCACGTGCAACGTGAAGACTTTAGCCACTAGGCCACCACGCCAGGCCCATGACTTCAGATCTTACAGCCAGGTTCACAGCTGGAAACCGAAGTTGTATCTTCCTCACTCCAAAGTCTGTGTTCTCATCCCTGAGAAGCCCTCTCTCCAATTCCTGGCCCGTTCATGAGTGCCTGAGGGTGGACTCTCAGGAACAGGCACCTTCTTCTCACCAGGCGAGGTTTCCAAGAGCTGGGGTCCCAGGAGGGAAGGCACCATGAATGCAGAAATGGCATGAAGACAACCCCATAAAAACCTTCATGGAGTTGCAAATGACATCCTGGGCCAGTGGAACAGTATGGTAAGAGCCAAGATAAATACAGTGCTGTGTGAGGAAAAATGGAACTGTCTTGCAATGGGAGTAGGGAAAAGGATGGGACTTGTAGCTCCTGGGGACAGTGAGTCCCAGGGAAGCCTTGAGGCAGCAGGGCACAGGCACGAGAGCCCAAAACGCTCTAGCGACCATCTGCCTAGACTCCCAGCACATTTTCCCCTGGGGTGTCCAGGTAATAATGTCTGCTCCAACTGTCATAGGAATACAGCAGACTGGGTGCCCACAACAGACAAGGTCTTTTCTCACAATTCCAGAGGCCAGAAGTTGAGGATGAAGGTGTAGCTTTTCTCTTCCTGGCCCTGGCCTCTAATTGGCCACCTTTCTCTCTCTCACAGAAGGGTAGGAAGACAGCCTGAGTGAGCAATCTGGTGGCCTTCTCTGTCCCCACTGTCACACCAGGGTCCACCCTCATGACCTCTTTTACCCTTCTGTCTGTAAGGCTCCATCCCAGGATAATCACACACCGGGGTCTGTAGCTTCTTCAACTTGGATTTCGCAGGGAATGCAATTCAGTTTCCTTAACATCAGGACTGAATGAAAACTTACAACTCACACGTGTCCCTGCTGTTGTGAGAATTGGCCCAAAGTAGCGTGTAATGTCTAGGTTCTGTTTTGCCTCCTTCCTCATTTCCTCTTATTGTTACTGGAAGAGGGTAAGTAGCTGAAAACCAAGAGTTCACAGGTATGTTAGGGGTCACTTGGGAGTGGAGGAGATTTTAGCAGGGTTGGCAAGGACAGTATTCCAAGCTCAATGCTGGGAAGAGCTTGTTGCAAGGCAAAGGTACTTCAGAGGAGTAATGGGAAAGTGGAACTAGAAGATAAGCTTATTCAGGCAGAGAACATTTTCTGAAACCCGTGTCTACTTTTCCATGGGCTTTTTGAAGGCCCCTTATATTCAAAGAATCCTCACGTGCAGTGAGGCCGGAGACTGACGCTGTAAAAGACCAGGCAAGGTGGGTGCCCCACACTCAACAGAGGCAACAGCAGCCAGCCAGCAGGATGAACATGCAGCTCCATCACCCCATGACTGTCAGTCTCCCCCATGGCCAGAAGACTTGTGGAATGGACGGGAGAAAAACAGGGCAGAAGACCTGACACAGTGACACTGGAAGAAGCCAAGTTCCATTACACTGACACTTTCGTCTCCCAATCCCGCTCTATTAAGTAAGATACTACTGAGTACATACGAGCAGTACTAAGTACATCTGGATCATCTGGATGTGGCGACACTAATATTTATCAAGCACGTATTATGTCCCAAGCTTGAGGCAAGCATTTATTTGATAATAAGAAGTACTATTTTTGATCTTGGGAACTGCATGAACCAGAAGTGGGAGAAACGTTGTACACACAACTGTGCAACAACAGCACAGGATCACAGGAGTTAGAGTGCTGAGCCAGGAGCTGGGGTTACAGAGACCATGGTAGAAGTCTAACAAGAGCCCAGACCTGAAACTCGCCAGAGGGAGTGGCACAAGTGACTGCAAACAAAGACCTGTGTACCAACCACAAAAAAATAAGATCTAATTGTAGACCTGTGGGAGGCACAGCTTAGAAACCTGTCCTAAGGAGAAAAATCTGCTAACCAGAAGTACAATGATCAAGACAAAAAAAAACAAAACAAACAAAAAAAGACAGAAGCACAATGATTTTTACTCAAGACTCCCCAGCAAAGGAACAAAAGCCTTTGCCAACCTCAGAGTTAACTGAGGAAGACATCGAGACAATGGGGGATACAGAATTCAAACACTTGTTATAAAGCTTCTTATCAGAAGCACATGCAGGAATTTAAGGAAGGTCACACAGGAAACAGCAACACTGAAACAAAAACAAACCCAATTATTGGAAATGAAGGACGCAATAGAGCAAATTAAAAATTCAGCGGAAAGTCTCCATATTAGAATGAAGTAGGCAAAAGAATCTCAGAATTCGTTGATATTTCTTGCCACAATGGGGAAACAATCAAAAAGCTGCACGCAGAGCTGCGTCATGCTAAAAAAGGTATTCAACAATTAAGAGACACTATTAAAAGGCCAAATATAAGAGTTAGAAGAGTTCCAGAAGGTGCAGAAAGAGAAACTGGGATCAAAGGTGTAATCAGGGCCCGGCGCGGTGGCGCAAGTGGTTAAGTCCTCGCCTTGCACGCCCGGGATCCCATATGGGCGCCGGTTCTAATCCCGGCAGCCCCACTTCCCTTCCAGCTCCCTGCCTGTGGCCTGGGAAAGCAGTCGAGGATGGCCCAAAGCTTTGGGACACTGCGCCCGCGTGGGAGACCCGGAAGAGGCTCCTGGCTTCGGACCAGCATAGCATCGGCCCGTTGCGGCTCACTTGGGGAGTGAATCATCGGACGGAAGATCTTCCTCTCTGTCTCTCCTCTCTGTATATCCGCCTTTCCAATGAAAAAATAATAAAAATAAATCTTAAAAGAAAAAAAAAAGGTGTAATCAATGAAATAATAAGGGAAATGTTCCCTAATCTGGATAAAGAAGTAGAAAACAGAATACAGGAGGGGCGCAGAATTCCCAGAAGGATTGACCCGAAGCGA